GGGTAGGACACATCCCTCATCGCACCCAGGAAATTAAGTTGACATTTGATGGAAACAGAAAAAAATATAAATTTTGTTGTGGAAAGGAGGTGGGGGGAGAGCGCAGCACAGCAGACATAGCACAAACCCCATCCCTTGTTCATCCATCCTCACGCCACCCCCCTTAAGCCCATGGATGCATTCGAGAGGGATTTCAGCGATCTGCAATGCAGACGCCACTGGGTGCCCACGAGAAAATGAGCTTCATCTTTTGCCTGTCCTTGTCAGCATGTGCTGTCTGTCCCTCTTTGTTTCCATCTTTTATGATGCTGATGCTCCATTTTCATATCTGCCTCCCCTGTTTGTGCATTTCCATTTGGAAGGACGTTGGAACAAAAGAATATTCCTACTACATAATTATATGTTTTTGCTTGTGATGACGTTCATTCGCTGTAAATGATTGTAAAAATGTGTCATCCCCTTCAGTGTTACTTTGATTCCCTTATATATTTGCATCCTAAATACACCATTGTGTCTATTTTGAGCGTGCAAGCCAAAAATAATTATTTTAAAATAACTGACCTTTTATAAATTACTGGTTCAAAGAGCGGGTTTGCATTTTGTACAGATGCCAACAACAGGTTTGTGGCCTAATAAGGTGCAACAACAGTTTAAATCAAACAAAGAATAAAGTGAAATGTGGTCTTACGCAAGAATAACGATGACATCAAACGCCTCTTAGTAACCTCAGTGAGGATTCTGAGCACCATGTCTGAGTTCAAGCCACAATTAATACATCATTATGCCCTCCTACAGTTTAGCCCTGTGCACACACAGACACTCACACACGGTGTGTGCACAAAGCCTGCAGACCAGTTGTGCCTGTCTAAATATCCCCTGCATTAGACATGCAGGAATGTTAACATTATTATGCAAAATTGTGAATGTCTGTCTGCATACGCCCTCCCCCTTTTCTCCCCTGCCATATTGTGTCTGCGGTTTATTCAGTGTGTGTGTGCGCACTCTAAGCAGGCGGTGAGTGGTGTTATTTGAATATGGCTTATTTCTTTTTTAGTATACGTGTAATTTTAAACACGTTACAGATTTTTGCAGGTCTATGAAACTCCCTGAATGTTTTATTGGAAACATGTCGACATTAATCTTAGCTTTTTGTCTCATGGGGGATTTTTATGCACGAGTCCTTTTATACAAGGAAATATACTTTACAGTACTATGTGGTTAAAGTTAAAAATATTCTGCTCTTTGAGTTTAAAGGTTTAAAACAAAATAATTATAGTATTATTATTATTGCAATAACACAGTGTTTTAGCAGCTAATTTTACTGATAGTTCTGTGATGTTGAAGCAATCCTACATGGACTTTTAGGTTTAACTGCTGGAACAAAATTAATGAACAAATAACATTCAAGCATGATTTATTTATTATCGAACAATATAAAATTGTAGTTATCTTTTGGTCTAAACACGCTCATGAAAATGTCTCATGATAACGCTGACGTTTTTTTTTAATTTTTTTAACTGAGAAGATGAGCGGTTGAGGCGTGACTCTCATTATCGTCTGTGTCACTAATATCTGCTCTGCATTTTCCAGAAGCTGCGGTGCCATCACCATATTGCATCATCTCAGCGTGTATGCACGCACTTAACCGAGGGCTTTTTGCAGGCAGTGCATCATATTTGCGTTATTTGCATTTTGGAGTCTTCGGTGATCGCTGTGCAGATTGTTGCATCATTTAAAAACTGAATGCTATCCATTGCAAAGAAAGAAAGAAATGCACAAATACACATGAAGCTGCGTATGCACGAAGCTCTGAGGATGAACAGGTATAACCAACATACAGACATCTTAAGGAGATTTTATAATTATATTTAAAGCTGCGGTTTAATTTTAAAATTGTATATCTTTACAGGAAAGATTGTCCAGCATGTGTTGCATACAAAGTCTTTGGCATTCCTTTCCGCTCAAACAAACCCCTATCTTGCCACATGCAACGCTATTTCTTGCCGCCAGCAATTTGCATGTATTTGCATGATTTTCACAACGTGCATTTCCTTTGTTCTGACTGTATGATGATGCTGGAGAAACCCTCCCAACGGAGAGACGCCCAACGAAAGTTACTTTAATATAAATATGCGTTTTAATTAGGAATTGAAACTGTGGCATTTACACAAAACCAAACACATCCTCGACGATCCGTTTTTAACAACGTGGTGCATCAGAATAAGACGTAATGAGACAATAACGTTTGAGATTTTTGCAGAAATTTTTAATGACTGAAGAAAGGACGTATTGTGCTACTGCTAAGAGACATAATATACAGCACAGGGAAAGGACTGCATCCAAGCATGAAACGTGGAATAACTCGACAAATAGAAAATAGGAAAATTAATAGATGGAAACTAAATCGCTGAAAACACCCTTTCAATCATTTTAACGTTTTCCTAAATAATTGACTACATTCATTTTCAAATTTCATATTCCCCTTTTAAAGTTGTTTATGTCACCTATTTTGCACCCGATTAGGATTTTAAATGTATTTGCTGTCTTTACATTTTGTTCTTGTTGCTTTTAACAAAGGAACCATTAGTGTTGCTTTCTTCCACAGTTTGTTTTGGCGCTCAGTTAATTTGTTAGACTTTATAGATCAGACACCGTCCATGTATCACACACAGATGTTTTAACATGAACTAATCATGCCGACACATGCAGATGCCTTTATTAATTGCTGCAGATGGTTCAGAAGTCGGTCTTTGAGGCTGGAGGGTTTATATCCTGAGGACGTGGGTTCCTCATTACAAATACTTTCTCCCGCTGGCATTTTCACAGTGAGCAGCTGTACTGCAAATCTGCATGCCTTATACGTGTTTACGACTGTTTCAGGCAAAATGAGGACATGCATCGTAAACAAACTTTGCTTTGAAGTAAAGTAGTATTTTTTTTTTTTTGATGGAGCTCATTTTAATATTAGGCAAACAGAGCTAAAGTGCAAATTGTTGTGTAAATTATTTTTGTTTTGTGCAAAATGTGAAAAATACTTTGAAGTGCAAATAATTCATGTCATGTTCATGTATATCCAGTAAATAGGATTGGGGGGGGGGGGGGGGTAATGAAATAAATAGAAAGAAACTCTGTCCTAATTCAAGTTTTTACCTTTATCCTGATATTCCATTTGTGCAAAGATGGAGAGATGACCAGTTTTACTGTTTCTTTGTCACTGACATGTTGAAATAACTGATTGGGGGTCAGATGTTAGAGTATAAAACATACATTTATAACGGATAATGAAATGATTTGTATAAACCCTGCAAACACACTAAGGGTTTGGGGTTTTTGAGCGGTCTGTCCAAGTGACCTCTAAATGGAAACTCATTTCCATAAAATTCTGCCGAGTTTAAGCTGAGCCAGAAACTAAACTAATCATTGAATTTTAGTGGGAAAAGAGTTTTATTTATTTAAAAGTCAGCTTAATATTGTTCAGTCAAATGCTGGCTGATTAAACACGTTGACTCTTCTCCAGTCGGTGAGAGCTCGAGGTGTCAGATAACACATTTTGCACAATCAACAATATTTCCAGGTTAAGTAAAGGTTATTATGACATGTCTCAAAAATACAATGTTAGAAGTGGGCTGAATAACAGTACATGCAAAAAGCGCCAATGTTATGTGAAATGATTAGACTCAAAGCAGAGTTGTGAGGTCACATGCTTTACTGTATTAAATTATAAGTTGCAGAAAGTTCTTCAGAGTTTTCTCTGTGGGGAACATCGAGATTTCTGCAGTTTAGCAGCAGCTGACCTTCCCTGCTCTTTAACTGGCCTTTTTGAGAAGTTCACCAAATATGTGTGAGTACTGGGAGTAATTAAAATCAGTAATACTTTACACCAAGACCCTATGGGGCTGACATACCACCTATTTTCTTGAGTTCTCATTTTTTTAATCACCAAAATATATCTTAGGCATGTCTTGTTGTTTGGGTATATTATTTTATTCCATACCAAATGTCTTTTTGCACATTTTATTCTTGCCTTTTGTGCATTATGAGTTTCTTTTTTCTTATAGTGACTCACGCCTGTGATTTCAGCTTTTTCACAGTTTCTCTACAGTGTGAGCACATACTGTCTTAACTATTCAAACACATTTTGTGTCTCAAGAGGTTAATGAGGTCGACAATGAAAACTGTTGAAACTGAAATACTATAAGTTGGTTGAAAATGTTTAGCCGCCCCTCTCTATGAAGCTTGCTCTTTTCAAATACTGTACTGTGTTTTATTTAATGGCAAAGTAGTTTTAAAAGTAGCTATGGTGATAATTGGATGTTTAATAGTTTTATTTCTTGCACACCTAAACAGTTTTTGTAGCTATAAGATGGCTGAAATCACTTCTTATTTGAAGCTACTGTTTGTGTTTGTTCAGATGATGATGATGATGATGATGATGATGATGATGATGGTCATCATGCTGGGTGGTTAAATAATAATTTGTGTTTTATTTTTGCTCATAATCTTTGGAATGACCCAAAAGACAAAAGAATAAAGAAATGAAAATAAATAAATAGAACATTGTGATCACATCTCCTAAGCTTGTATCTGCGCTGATGTTTTTATTTATTTAATGCATCCTTTGGACCACTAACATCTATGTCTCTATTCTACACACATGGGCTGAGTTTGCTGCAGGCAAACCGAGACTCACTCATGAAGCTCTGAGCAGAACAGACAATATAGGCTGCTAACCAAGAAATTAGACCATTTTTGACACAGTGGTTGAATAATTTCTATACAAAGCTTTCAGATAAATATGTTTTTTTTTTTTTGAATGTCCAGAGGACCAGATTTAACTTTTTTTTTTTAGATTTTTCTACCTGAATTATTCAGCATGCATCAGGATACTTTCAGATAAATATCAAAACAGTTCAATTATTGCATGCAGTCCTTCAAGTTTTATGTTCATGTACAATTAGTAGTAAAATAAGGCAGTAAAATAAAAAAAATAAAAATCTTACCCTTTGAGGGTCCAGTGGAAAATGAAATCCCCGACATCTTGTGATGGCCTGTGCTTCTTGCTGCATGCAGCCGTTCTCAGCTCCCTCTCATCATCACTGCAGCAATAAAAACACACACAGGTAAGGCTTGAATATATTTACCGTTCAAATGGACATCAGATGGGCATTTATGTTGGGCAAACGTTTTCTCAGTCTGTGCACCACGCCACATAAAGCAAGTGGGATTTCTATAAACCCAATTAGACTGAGAGAGCTTGTTTTTATAAATTAAACTTATTTTAAGAAATTTTAAACAACCCTAGCCTGCAAATGTATGATTACTGTATCTTATTGTGGTCTTTTACAGTATTATCATTAAATATGAGGAAACATATGTGATCGTATTGTATTCTAATACATTTCTTTGGTACACTGTGGGTTTGAAGTGTTTCAGTATGTTGTTTCAGTCATACGACCATGACCTCCACTTCATCCCCTTATATCTCGGAACCAGATGCATTTAACACTAAACTTTATCTGTAAATGTTGGTTTTATTTATTTATTATTTGCATCATTTTACTCTTTAAATCAAAGTGACTGTTGCTGTTTCTTCATGCGTAGACTAAATGGAGAGACTGCAGCCTATCACAGGTGAGATATCTTTGGACATGGACTTTCTCATAGCAATTATTACTCTTTATTTGTTTGATTATCATAAATTATTGTGTTTTTTTTGTCCGCTCGTCACATGAGAGCATGCACAAAAATCTACTATCTCTGCTGTATGCAGTAGCTTTCTTCTGCCTTTTCTGTGCCAGCATTCTCCCGAGTGATTGTGGGAATCTTCTGATGTGTCAGCATCAAACTGACAGATGCCACATTTTATTAGAGCTCCACATCAAAGCTCACACACACATCCCCACACAAACACATACACTGTGGCTATAACATAAAAGCTAATAATGAAACGCCAGAGTCCTTTTTCTATTATTTATTTGTATTTGTTTTAATAAATACATGCTTTACAGTGTTCTAAAAGAGAGAACAGTCAAACAATCAAATTCATTTTACAATTTTACAGTTGTATAGATAAAACAAAACAAAAACAAACAATGGGGATATCATTGTAAAGGCACATATGCCCAAACCATTGCTGCAATGTTTTGCACATTGGATTGTGTTGCGGTTGTGTGGCAAACCCAGTGTGCCTCCTATGTGTGTTTCAAGCCCTACGGCACAGTTTAGGATACTATGCAGTGCTCCCTCCTTCACCGTCGCTTCGCTCCCTTTGCGGCTTGTGTGGCTTGTCTCATCCCATCTTCCTCCTGCTCCTCTGTCTCCCTCCTTCGCTCCAATCTCACCTCTCCCCACCACCAACACTCCGAGCCTACACACACGTAAGGTGGGTGAGTGGGGGGATGGATGGAGTGATGGGAGGGAGTAGGTGGGAGGTGGGGGAGGGCACCTCACTGGCAACAACGGTGCCAAGGCTTAACCTCCTCAAAGGGAAGCTTAGGGATGCGCAAGATGCTAAATGTCATGCACAGATAAAATAAATGTTCATAAAGTGAGCTGAGCAGATTTAAAACAAAATGCAATTGAAAACTGGATCTGTCCCAAATATCTTGACTGGATGATTCAGCTGTAATTGTGTCTCCCTCACAATGTGTGAATCCTCAACCTGTTTTTACCCTACATGACAAAAGGAGGCAGGCGTGGAACAAAAGCGTTTTCTTCTTTATGAAAGGTGTGTCTTCTCTCCTCCCCGCTAGCTTACAGTGTTTCATTATCCAAAGTCAAGGTCTGTTTTGCCACCCAGCTCCCCCATGCTGCCTGTCTCATTTCCTCCCAGTAATAATCCATTAAGCAACACCAGGCTCAAACTCACTGATGTTTAATTATTCGCACTTATTTGGCAGCGCTCTGGGCCGTACCACTCATCAGAAGAAAACAGGGAGGTAAGAGATGGGAATCAGCTGATTTTTTATTTTTTTTTTGCACTTACTGTACTTCTTTAAAAAAAAAAAAAAGAAGAAAAGAGACAAAGGGATGACTGTACAAAAAAGAAATCTCACACAATTTTACATACTCATTTCTACAAATCTGAATAGAACATATAAATTGCAGAAATGTGCACATTGAAGCTGTCAACTAACATATTTTCCTAAACTGGTTAATATAGTGTGTGTGTGTGTGGGGGGGGGGGGGGGGTGTCATGTGTGTACTTGTATTTCTGTGAACAGTGTGTTTTTGTGCTGTGGGGAGATGTGCATGTGCCACCTTATTAGGACATTTGTGGTAATTACCTGATAGCTGAGGTCAATGTCATTGTGTTAATGTCATATTTTATTACAAAAATATAAAAAAAGAAATGATCAATTGTTTGGTTCAAAATGCAATTTGGCAGCAACTTCTTCATTCTTAAACATTTTATTATCATTTTGTATGTGCGTGCATGTGTGCACAGCAAAATTACATGTAAACCCTCTAAAATAACTGCTACCACTATTTATAATGTTAATGCATGGCAGAAGGTTTTTTTCTTCCTGAAATGTCTGACATTTTAAAATGGTAATAACTTCAAAATTACAATTATCAGCAATCGGTTTAGTACTAAAAATAACAAAATAAGCACACGCAGCTGAAAAGATGTGTGTGTCCCATTGTATCAGAAAACCTCAGCCTGCAATTTTATTTTTGGGGCGCACAAAAAAGTTGACCTAGTAAATTTTTAAATTATGAGTGTGCAGTTTAGCTCTGACCGTCACGGTGCCACCATTTAACACTCCATTAGTGGCATGCATTACAAAGACAAACAAAGGTTGATCTTGCACCAAGTGGCAGTAATCAAACGAATGAATACATGCAAATTGAACTTTTAGCATGCGGCGCTGCCGGCGACAGTAACCAAACGATTCTCATTCAGATCTCCGTCCTGTCTCTTTACTGCACGAAAATTTGTAGGCGCTAATGTGTATGCGTGTGCGTGTCTGTGCCAGCGGACATTTTAGGTCTACCCTCCCCACGCTCTTACTGCTGCCAAACGCCTTAAGATGGTGGCACCTTGAGGCAGAGGGAGACACTCTTACAGAAAGCCAATCTCCTCCTCTCTTTTACCCGTTTCTTCCACCTCAGGTCCTCACGACAACACAGGACGGACTCTACCCCCTCCCTCCCTTTCCCCTAACCCTTAGTCCCCCTAATAAATATTTAATTCTCCCCTCTCTAATAAGGATATTAGGCGAGTACACCCTAGCCCTGGCATATATGCATGAGTCCGTTCTCATCAAATTTACATAAAAGGGACAGATGCTAATGCGAGCATAGCAACCACAGCTCACTATTCTATATGCACTTGGCCCTCTGGTCCAAGTGCCCATATAATTTAATTGCCACACAGCATCTATTTTTCAAAAGATTCAGCCGGCTCCAATTGTGTGCAGGCCTCAATTGCACATGCTTTACAAAAAGCTAAAGTATGGCTTTTTCCATACGTGGTGGAAGCACATCTACAGTATTTATGCTTCCCTAATGTTTCCGAAGCCCCTCCTCACATGAATAATAGAAGGGATTATGCATGACATGAGAAAAAGAACAATCTCAATGTTCGAACGACGAACACAGAAGCGTGGAGTTTTACAAAATCAGAGCTCGTTCAAATATGAATTACCAGTTCAAGCTGAACAAGCGTTGATGGAATCAAGCTTGTTAGGAGTTTAACAAGAGTGATTACCGTGGCAGTAAAATGATCAGCATTATTCTGAAGCAAGTGTCTGACAAAATGACGGAGCGTTTGATTTGCCTTTTCCAAAAACAATAACCAGGAGCACTGAAATTTTGTGGAAACCACACGGCACACGGAGACCGAGACAGCTTTTGCTGTTGTCGTTGTAATTAATAGGATATGAATAATGCAGTGACACGGTATACATTATTTACGGCCTTTCATTTTCAAGGAGACACATCTCGGATGCAAGTATACTTGCAAAATCGGAAGCCAGCAGAGTAGTGATATGCTGGAACACCAGCTGAGTGCCAGCTTTATGCTTTCAGATTTACAAACAGCATGTCTGAAAATAGTCTCATTGGGCAAAACTGTTATCGGTATTTAATTATGCAACCAGGAGTGGACCTTTAGAATTATCGAGTAATCGTTTCTTGAATAATAATCACACCTGCAGTTGCCAGTCCTCAGAATTATGCTTGCTTTAAACAATTTGAATTGACAAATGATGAGTGCATTTATTAATAAGATAAGGTGACTTGTAGCTGACACATTTAAATATATTTAAGGGGATTTAATTACAAATTGCACCTCACAAATAAAAAAACATTTTTGCAAAAATATTCTCATATTCCTTTTTATATCTGCTCAAGGTTTTCTGTAAAACTAGTTATCTGATTTTATAGACATTCACAACTCAAATATTTGTTATTCTTCAACATAACCAACCAAAGCAAGTTTAGACTTAATATACCTAAGGTTCATTTCAACAGTCTAACTAAATTAGACTTTACAAATTGCACGTTATAGACGACAACACCATGGGTCAAATAGAAGAGCAAACATAAAATGTCAAATAGAGCGACTGTTTTTACACGTATCAGTATTAGTTTGTAATAAATGTTTTGATTTCTTGAAACTGATTTCTTTTTTTTTCAAGACTTTAGCGCTGTATATGTTTACCAGTATTAGATGTCATGCTTGTATGTCTTCAGGAATGTTCTGGTCATTCTAAAGTATCACAAAACTTAAAGCTTTGGGCAACAATAAACCTACACGATGCAGACATCTTGATTCCATGACATACCAAATCCAGTATTTACACACAGAAAATATATTAGACAGCATATATAATAAAGATAAGTTACAAACATGCCCACCACAGTTATTTCAAACAGGAAAGCCATACAGTGTGGCAGGGCCCAGCATGCCTGCTGCTCTCCACAAGACACTCAAGTGGCCATACATGATGTCATTAAAAAGGGCCGAGCCGTGACATTCCTCAGTGGATTATTGGCAAGTTATAGCTAGCTGCTCTGCCATGGAGAGAAAATGATCAGATCTGGGTTCATTTGAAATAACATCATCACTGAATGGAGGAAACCCTTTCAAGTGTTTGACGGTACGC